TTTCTTTACTGTCTGATCTAATGAGTAATTCTAAATTGGAAATGTTTAAGTAAGCATCTGTCTACAGCAGTGTTTTTCAACCTTTTTTGTGCAAAGGCACACTTTTTTCATGAAAAAAATCACGAGGCACACCACCATTAGAAAATGTTAAAAAAAGTTAACTCTGTGCCTATATTGACTATATATAAAGTAATTCTCCCACGGCACACCTTACACTATGTCACGGCACACTAGTGTGCCGCGGCACAGTGGTTGAAAAACACTGGTCTACAGGTAACTAAGAGTTGGGGGAAAAGCATAATTTAAAGATTGACTGCCCCACAAGCCAATATAAGAAAATATGCATCAGATCAAAAAAGTTGCTAAATGATTTTTTTTCTCTTGTCTGTAATCAATTGCATCAATTGCTGTGCAACATAGTAGAAAAAGATTCCCCTGGTACAAAACCTTTGGACTTGTGCCAGATAAAGGGAGAAGAACTGTTCAGCTAATATTTAAAAAAACGAAAGGCCCTGGAATCTATAGCATCTTAACATTAGGTTGCCTGCACAAATTAATTGCATGATTCATTTTGGGTAAATGAAGCAGAATGTATTAAGCAAAATAGTTTGCAGGAATGATGCATCTAAATATTGGAGTTAGCATCTTCCTGCTCATTGCTTTTTCATGCAAGATATGGTACATTGCAGATAATATTTTATAAAAAGAATCTTCCTCAGAATAATAAATAGTGGGGGTTTGTTAATTTATTTCAAAAGTGATAACGGATTAGGCAGGTTTAAGTGAATTAACCAGAATTCTAGTAATGTAATTCATGTCTGTGAGTGTATTCTGTGTCTGTTTTCACAGCTTTGATATTAAAATCAACAAAATTGTTCATTATTTTCATTAGTTTCATTTACTGATAATACAGTGTTTGTACACATAGTTATCTAGATAAATCAATCTGTATCTTTCCCTTTCTTTGCTTACCGTATTTTTCGGAATATAAGACAAAACTTTTTCCCTCAAAAAAGAGGCTGAAAATATGGGTGCGTCTTATACACTGAATACAGCATTTGTTGCCTCCTGAAACCCTGCCCCTTCACCAAAATGGTTGTGCATAGCCTTTAGGAAGCTTTCAGAGTGCTCCTGAGGGCTGGGGAGGGCAGAAATGAGTGAAAAATGGGCCGTTTTTTGCTCAATTTTGCCCCAGTCCCCAGGAGCACTCTAGAAGTCTACTAAAGGCCATTTATGCCCTTTTTTGAATAAAAAAGGGCCAGCTTTTGTGAAAAACAGGCCATTTTTGGGAGTTTTGCAGAGTGCAAAAACTTTTTTTTAAAAAATTGCCTCTTCAAAATCTTGGTGCATCTTATACTCCGAAAAATATGGTATATTCCTATCTTAAATGTATTATTTTAGCAATAAGTGACCAATTATAAAATACTTTGCATGTTTGGATGAAATTTTGTTTGTTTATTCAACAAATTTATGTGGCTGCCTGTTTAACCAGCAAAACTATAATCTCCCAAAATAGTTCAGCTGTTGATTCTTAAAGTCAATTTCAACAATTGCTTCTAAATAATTCTCTCTGTTATTTGTTCCATATGTCATCTAAAACTAAATTGCAAATGAATCCCCAAATAAAATGGTTTTATCGGATAAATATTTTATGAGGATGTGTTCTGATAGTCACAGTAAATTTACTATTAGATTAATCTAGTGATGATGTTATAGAGTTTATAGAAATGATACTATGTAGTATTTAATGTGGAAATAGATATTTTGTGATTAGAACATTTATTTTGCCTTTTCCTCCTAACTACCATCTTAATTAACAGTAAGCATAAGGGAGAATTGGCTTTTCTTCAGCTTCATTTCTTTTTGTTTGAACATTTATCATAAGTTTACCTTAAAATAACTGTATGGCGATATGGGCAGTATAAAATAAATATGGACATTCAGAATTTTGATGGATTTAATTGGATTTGAACAGAGCAGTGGCAGCCCATTCATCATCATTTCCTATGATATTCTCTCCCTCCCTTCCTCCATTTACCTACCTACCTACTTACCTTACCTATCTGAATTTTTGTTACAAAGAAAAGCATTATTTACCAAGTGGTTTGAATAGGCTCTCTGTTCAAGTTGAGGTAGAGACAGCAAATAGCAATGCATGTTTGCTTAATTCCTGCTGTATTGAAATGTACAGTTGTTCCGAACTATTTTAAGAAATATTGGTTTTGAAACTGGAAACCACATACTGTGCTGAAACCAAGCAGCCTGTTTCTGTGTATTTCAGGAATACAAAAAAGGAAAATTACTGCTTTCAGGACTTTTTCAAATATCTTTCCTAAACTAGTAAAATGTTCATGCTCTGACTGTAATGTTTCCATTTCGTATTGTGTAGTATTTTCTTATCATGTCTTTTCATGTGCTTAGTTTTTGTCATGTCCAAATCTCATCCAAAACATAGAAATTAATTTTCTTCCCTCTAATAAACTTATCTCTTGCCATGTGATTTTTTTTTAAAAAAGTAAATTATCTCAACTTGAAATCTTAGTTTTCCGGATTGGATCCTTGAATATCTTACTACTGTACTTTGCCTTTTTTCATCCTTGTTGTTCTTATTCTATTCCTTTCACTGCCTTCACCTTACTGTCTTCTATTTTCCTTTCTTTCCTTCTTATAGGCTCTGATGTTCTTTACATTGGCCCAGTAAAAGGTGAGGCTCAGGTGGATAGGACTTTTCTCTCCTGTCTTTTCTGCTTCCTGTTTCTCTGAACTATATGACTCTGATAACCAAAGAAATTATTGGCTATATTTTGACCATATGGTGTCCCACAATTGTCTCTCGCAGTTGTCTCTCGGCTAAATTTTGACTGTGTCTCTAGGTATTTGTTACAAAATATGTGATTTAGGTTTTTTTTTCTAATTGGGAAAACAGCTAATATACATTGATTGCTATTTAAATAACACAGTATTATAACATTCTATCAGAAACAGAGTATTAGAAATACAAATTATTTATATTTTATATATGCAGTGTAACTATGAAGTAAAGTTACAGATCTGTCTATTTTGATTGGAAAAATGCTGCTTAAGTGAAAGTAGAGGCTCGAGACTTCCATCATTTGTATAAGAAAAGCTCTGATATTACACCCACATTGTTTTTCCACAATGCCTAAATCTATAGCAGGTAGCAATAACATATCTCCATGTTTCTCAACAATAAGTACTGAGAACCATATTGCTTTTGATATTTTAGATAATGCATGTGCATGAGAAATAATAGCCATGAACAGCTGTATAATCCATTTATTTGTTGAGATGTATAAGCTGCCCAATTCAAAAAAGAAAAACCTCATACAGTAATAACTGAATGTAATATATAATTATAAAATGGAGAGCCAAGTACATAACAAAACAACCAAAAGTGGATTCTCACTCAGTTGGCCAGTAATGATGAAGGGACGAGCCAAGTCTTAATGGCTTTTCTAAAGGTGAGAAGAGTTGGGGCCTGAGTATATTTATGCCTGGGGTATCTTTCCAGAGGAGTGAGAGAATTTACAATATTTATAATCTGTCCTGAATTTTCAGGGCCCAGAGGAATTAATAAAAATCAAAGTACAGCTTTGTTTTAAAGCAGGGATGTCAAACTCAAGGCCTGGGGGCCAGATCTGGCAAGTGGGGTGCTTAGATCTAGCCCGAGGGGCCATTCTGGAAACAGTGAAGGACCGGCCCATGGTGTTTCTGCCAGCAAAAGCAGTGCTCGCGAGGGCTATGCATGGTCCTCCTGAGGTCTGTTTTCGCTGGCAGAGAGTTGCAGGAGGCCATTGTAGCTGAAAATGGAGCTTGTGTGCCCATTTTCACTGGCACCTCAGGCTACCACAGGTGCCCCCCTGACACGAGTGACATCATGCTAGCCACACCCACCCTGACCATGCCCTCCTGGCCCCCTGAGGTCAAACGCTATCCTGATGCGGCCCTCAATGAAATGAAGTTTGACACACCTGTTTTAAATCCATTTAAATAGCATCTTCTAATTGTAGCTTTCTTCATTTAATTACCGTATTTTTCGGCGTATAAGACGCACCTTTTTCCCTCAAAAAAGAGGCTGAAAATCTGGGTGCGTCTTGTACACTGAATACAGCATTTTTGCCTCCAGAAACCCCACCCCTTCATCAAAATGGCCATGCATAGCTTGTAGGAGGCTTTCAGAGAGTTCATGGGGGCTGGGGAGGGCAGAAATTAGTGGAAAACAGGCCATTTTTTGCTCAATTTTGCCCCACCCCCCACCCCCAGGAGTACTCCATAAGCCTCCTAAAGGCTATCCATGTCCTTTTTTTGACAAAAAGAGCCCATTGTTGCAAAAAATGAGCCATTTTTTGCTCATTTGCCCCCCAGCCGGAGCTCTCTATAAGCCTTCTAAAGGCTATTCATGCCCTTTTAAAAAAAAAAACGGGCCAGTTTTTGCAAAAAACAGACTGTTTTGGGGAGGTTTGCAGAGTGCAAAACCGTTGTTTTTTTTAATTTGCCTCTTCAAAACCTTGGTGCATCTTATACTCCAGTGCGTCTTATACTCCGAAAAAATACGGTATACACTGTTTGGAGAACTTCTCTATCTATTGTCCTGAATATCCTACCATTCAGATTCGCTAAACGCTACCATTCAGATTCGCTAAACGATCTAGGTTGTCTTATTACAAAAAAACAGAACGGATGGGGTTTTGTCTATCACATGTATAAAGTTTTAATATCTTAATCACATAGGTGACCATTCCATCTTTCTGTAACACTTTCCAAAACATCATCATATGGTCACAGTTTAAATTATGGACGCCATATGGACCTCATATTGACTTGTTCCTGTATATCTGACATGCAGTGTAGATATCCCTTCTTATTTCTGCAGTATTCACTAAAAAAATCAGTTCTGGAGTTATTGATATTGTAAGTCCTCTTCTGAATTGAGTGGACCAAGTATTAATTTGATTCTCTCTTATCTTTCTTCAATCTAGGGAACGTATATTCAAGTCCAGGGCTTTATAGCAAAACTATGACACCAACTTATGATTCTCATGATGGGAGTCCTTTATCACCAACTTCAGCTTGGTTTGGAGACAGTGCTTTATCAGAAGGAAATCCAGGTATACTTGCCGTCAGCCAGGCAATCACCTCCCCAGAAATCTTAGCCAAAATGTATAAGCCACAGTCACTTCTGGATAAAGCCAAGATCAACCAGGGGTAGGTTTAAAAATATTAGTTTTGGAGCTTGTTTGTGCGAAAACATTGCTTTGTTATGACTGAGCTAATATTTTCCCTCTCTTTTGGAAGATGGCTAGATTCTTCAAGATCACTTATGGAACAAGAGGTGAAAGAAAATGAAGCTTTACTACTGCGGTTCAAATATTACAGCTTCTTTGATTTGAATCCTAAGGTATACAGTTATGTTAACTATAATATGGTGAGGATTTTCAGTGCATGTATGAGGGTTAGTGACCTGCCTGCATACTGTGATCACTATAGAATTTTTTCACAGAACTGCTAGTAAATTGCTCACTTATAAGACATAAAAAGCAAGCTAAAGGCCAGTAAAACAAATAATTTAATAATAACAGAATAACATAGAAGGGTATTTAACAGACAAAAACATGATCAGTATGCTAATACTAATTTCCAAATTGCATTTTAAAAGCTATGATTTTATTTGATACTAGAAGATCGATAATTTCAGTAATATTGTGGCTTCCAGGATTAGGATATTCCAAAGCCACAGCAAGGCTGTCTTCCACATCTCCATGTAATACAGGTAGTCCTCAATTTATGACCCTAGCTGAGACCAGAGTTTCCATTAATAAACAAGGCATGTGTCGTGGGTAGATGCATGCTTGGGAAATAATCATCAAAGGAATGGGATACCAAACAGATGTTATTAGTAAAACATTGAATTGACCTGTAAATCAGGCAGCAAGAACAATTATTTCAGAACTAAATTTGTGTGGATTTTTTAAAAAGTCTATTCTGAATATATTGTATTCTGTACTAATTGTACGCCTAACACGTTCCAAGACGGCAATTTTGTGCAGAATGTATTGCAGTAATCTAAAGAAGATGACATCTGTTATAGATTATTATGATTAGGTGTCTTTGTGCTGCGAAGGCTTGCAAGCCTCAGACTGGACATGCACTAATGCACTTCACTGAGGCCTTGAATGACAAAGACACATTTAAGAGTGTGTGGCAAAGCTCCACATTGTGCTCCTTCATGGAGATTGCAGCTTTTATCAAGAGTCTTTGACTCTGGATAAAACCTAAAAAGATGGGGAGTACCATTTAAAAGGCAGCATTAAGGCAAATATTAATTTTGCATCAACTAGGGAAAATAAGATTGGAAGAGAGATAATTTCAGCATATTTGGAATAGATGGCTTATTTAAATTATAGCAGGGAAGGTTTGTACAGTTTTAGTTCCAACATTCCAAGTTTTCTGTTGGAGCACTGCATCTTCTGACCTTAAATGGTCTGTTATATTTCAGAGGGGCACATAGCATTCGATCAGCAAGTAAAAATGAGAACTTCGTAAAAAGTTTATTGATGTTTTTTTTCCAGAGTCTCTGGTAATAAGAACTGCATACTGTCCATAGGGTGGGTTATCAATTGAATAATTTGGTTATGTCTCCATAGTATGATGCAATCAGAATAAATCAGCTATATGAACAGTCCAAGTGGGCTATTCTTTTGGAAGAAATCGAGTGCACAGAAGAGGAAATGATGATGTTTGCAGCACTGCAGGTAAGGATTGGCCCTGAAGTCCCAGGGCTCTTTAACTCTTGGTTTTTGCTTTTCAAAGAATCCTTAGCAAATGCTAAAATCCTTGCTGTACTAAATTTCATATATTGCATGTATTCATTTTTTTGAGTTAGAACATTTTGTCCCAACACATATCGCCTTTTTTTCTGTAAGGTTTTACTTGAACCTTTTTAGGGAATCTAAAATAGATTTGCCTCCTTTCAATGTCTCATGCAAAAGAATTTGGATTCTTTTTTCACAAACATGTTTGTACCTTTTAATTAGCTTTTAAGCGAAGGACAAGTACATTAGGTTACTGAACCACAAGATTCTGGCACTGAGCCTCTCAGGCAGCTGGTGATAATTCCTGGGTTTCCCAAAAATATCCTTGCCCCTTCTTCCATGTCCTCAGTCTGCAGTACATTTGGCAAACAAATTTATAAACACATTTAATGTATTTTTCATTGTACTTTCTTTTTCCCTTCTAAAGAAATTCCTTTCTATACTAGCAGTTTAAGGTGTCTCACATTGAACTGGTCTGTCTCTATGTATTATACCTAAGGCATAAAACCTAGGAACTCAAAAATCTCCTTGGATTATTAGAACTCTCTAGGTACAACATAAACCTTTGAGGGCAAAACAGATTGCGTTAACTGTATCTAGAACTGAATGAAGTTTTGTCATCAAAGCCACTTCCAGTCTCTTAATATTTTACCATGTGTGGAAATACTTAGCTGCCACTTAAAAGAATCATAGTTATAGATAATAAGCAACTGCTTGTTATATCCAATTTCATTCATTAATACTAAAGCATCAGTGGAAACACAATTACCTAGTATGAGAAATGGAAAGTTTTGTATCATGTAAGGTACTCTATTTAGTAAAATAGTAAAAAAGACTTAAGCTATTTCTTTCCCAGTTAATATAGGTATAGATATGTTTAAAGTTGTCATTAGAAAAAAATAGAAGTAAAAGGAGATACATACCTGGGAATACGCTTCTACAAAAAGTTATACTCATTGTAGTGTGCTAAGTGAAGAGACTATTCATCATGCAACAAATCCTTTCACATAAAGAATATTATTTTTGTTCTAAATCATGGGTCCCCAAACCCCAGGCCACAGTTGACTACCAGGCTATGGCCCATTTGGAATTGGGTCATGCAAGTGGTGGGTGAGCCCATGCTTATGAGCAGCAGGCACATGCTCCTGTCTCTTGCACAAATGGAGCTGTGTACACGCTTGTGCTTGCCGCTCGCACCATCCCCATCCCCGCTAATTCGCCAATCCAGAAAAGTTGGGGAACGCTGTTCTAAATACTTCTTATATAAGTGAAAAGAGAGAACTAAGGGATATGAACCTAATCATGATATCTACTGAATCAAAAAACATTGAGATTTATTTGTAAAATGAATTCTAGATTAAGAATTAGCTGAGTTAAATCACAAAGCATCTCCCACACTTGTCTTGTGGCTATCATTCAGATTTTTTATTTAGATATGATACCAAGTGCTATGAAGGCTACATTGTATTGTCACCAGCCTTTGAGCAGATCAAGAGGATTATACATACATGCTTACAATTATTTTTCAATTACTTTATTTCAGTACCACGTCAATAAATTGTCCATCATGTCATCTGAAAATCACTTGAATAACAGTGACAAAGAAGTTGATGAAGTTGACGCTGCCCTTTCTGATTTGGAGATTACTCTGGAAGGTGGGAAGACCTCTACAATTCTGGTAAGATCTGAGAAGTAAGAGCTTAATGTTTTTCCTAAGAGTGTGAGACTAATAGTCTGGACACAAGAGAAACAGTCAAACTGCTGGTCATGTATGGGCAGTTTGAGAAGAACTTAGTTCATAACCTAAAAAATGGGTTTTTCCAGAATCTGGAGCATCTTTAACTGAATTAGGTAAAATCCTGCTAGTCCTTTTCATTGACTATTCCATATTGAATTTGTAAACTACAGGTAATCCTCAATTTATGACTGGTCAGATTAATCCCTTGTTTTGTTTTTGGAGTTAAATGGTCATTCACTTACATCCACATCATATACCCATGGTCACATGACTGCATTTTGGGTACTTGGCAAACCGCTCACCTTTATGGCTGTTTGAAGCATCCCATGGTCACATAAATGCGATTTGCAACACTTTTGCCAGTTTCTGGCAAAAAACAGCCATTTGGGAAAATGGGTTTGCTTAATGACCACTCTGTTTTGCTATGTTTACAACCGTAGGGGGAAAGAAAACAGTCATAACTTCAAATTTAGTCACATGATGCCTCAGCTTAAAACCTCAGCATCTTACAACCACAATTCTGGGCTGAATTGCAGTCATAAGTTGAGAATTCCCTGAACTGCACAAAATCATTGGGCATCTTCAGTAGAGTAATTGAACTGACAGAAAGCAGATTGTTAAATTCCACTTGCAAGCTCTCATAGTAATACAGAGAGTGAGCATCTGGCCTACAGATGCTATAGAAGTCTCCACTTTGCATGTCTACCTGAAACATTGGTGCAGAATGTTAATGCAGTGGGACTTTCTGGTTAAAGCATTGAATTGATTCTCACTTAGGCCTTCTCCCCTCTTTCCTGGAAAAGCAGATAACCTGAGATGCATCCCCTTAGAACTTGCCCTGTGCAAGCATTACTGTAGTGACTGAGAACTCTGTACTAGCCATGATTTGCATAGGGCCATTAATTTCAATAGGGTTTGTGAGAAGGCTTTCCTAATTGGGGAGTATTTTGTTTAGTAAACATTTAGAGTGAAATGGAGACTTGGTGCCAAACCATACATCTTTTGGAGTTTGTTTATATAGTTCAATTTCAGAGTTTGTCCTTTAAGGACACTTATGCGAAATCAGCTCTGCCAAGGAATTTTAGGGTATTTTTGCCAAGTACGTCCTCGTGGACTCTCTTGGACTGTTCACAGGTCATTTGGGTTTTTTTCCCTTTGGAGCTGCAGCTTCCACCCCAGCCACATGAAAACCCTACTCTCTTTAACTTTTTTATGCACAACTGTTTACCTAAGATGAAAGAAAGATACTCTTGATGTGTTTGTTCAATTTTCTAAAATCTGTAAACAAACTTCCAAGATATCTGTAAATAGGCAGTGGAGTCTGTGCAGAAGTTTTAGTAAAATATGCCATCTGTCTGTGTTTCTTAGGATATAAAGGTTTTGCCGTCATTATCACTACTGTTATAAACCTGGAGGAAAATAGTGATAAACTGCTTCTAAATTGTGCCCCCCCAAAATAACATGGACATGTCCATGTAGCTTCAGTTAGGAAAAGATTTTGATTTGGTTAACCTGCTAAATTTTGCTATTCTAGTGGAGGCGCCTTTCCTTTTGCACATTTAAAGCCTTGTGCTGAGGAGACCATAACTGAAATTGTGCCTGTCTCCAGAAGTGGGGTGGGGAGAATCAGTGGAAGAAATTGAGAGTTCTTTTAAAGAGATTCCAAGAAAAGAAAAAAGAAAAAAAGCCAAAATGAGTAATTATAGTCATCTAGATTACACCTAGATGACATGAGGGAGTTTAACATCTTGCTCTTTTTATCTAGTAATGTATTTAAATAAATGGATGATATGGCAAGCTTCATTTTTTAAAAGCTTCCGCTCTCCATCAATCCAATATAGTACAAGTCGGGAAGCTACCTTAACCTTGATTCTTAAGTTTCAGTCAAAATGAATCATGCTCTCTTATCCCAGATTAGATCTGTTCTTTAGCAATGCATGCATATTTGGACATATGAAGAAAGAAAAATACCATTAGCTAAGCAAAACATAGCTCTGTGTGCAGATCAGTGGAATTCCCTTTTCTGTCCAAACTTTAAAGACCACTGAATTCTGTATCTGTAGAGTTACCAAATTTGAAGGAATACTCTTGTTAGTAAAGGCAAAAGCTTCTCTTTTCTCAGCAAGGGAAAAAGAATAAGCAGAATACCGATAGAGGAGTGGTTGAGCCCACCTGCAGATCTCAAAGCACATGGCAGAATCAGATCAGTTCTTTTAAGAAAAACAATTATAAATGTAAATATAAGAATATAAATTTCAGGTTGTGATCCTGGTGCCAGGGGCTTAAGGATGCTCACATAAATAGCAGTAGCACTTAGTCTTATATACTGCTTTACAGTGCTTCACAACCCTCTAAGCAGTTTACAGAGTCAGCATATTGCCCCCAACAATTTTGGGTCCTTATTTTACCCACCTCAGAAGGATGGAAGACTGACTCAACCTTGAGCCTGGAGAGATTTGAACTGCCAAATTGCAGGCAATAGAAGTAGCCTGCAGTACTGCACTCTAACCACTGCGCCACCAAGACTCATCCTAGCTGTTCTCATGAGATCAACTAAGTGGCCCTTATCTTTCATAAAAAATAAACTTTCATAGAAACAAGCTTTTGTCTATCATCTTTCGTAGAAAAGCCCAGTTTGGAAAGATGCTCACCTGTCCAGGAAAAAAAAAAGAGAGTGATTGAAACAGCTTTTATTTTCACTCTTCTTTTCCTCTGAAGAATGTTAATGGGCTTACATAAAGCCCAAGGGGCCTTCAAGGCAAGGAGAACAAAGAAGTTGTTTCTATACAGGATGCTTGCTATCCATATGAGATAAAAGCTTGATATCCCGGAGGAGGGGCCAATAATTTTGACAGGTATCCATGACTACAGTTATGCAGTAAGTGCTGCACTTGTGATTCCAGATTTGTAACAGCTGAGTTATGTTAAAATTGCCCCAAAGTATAAGTCCATAGTGCTACATCTTGAAAAATGAAGTAAAACTAAAACCCAAGACCGTAGGCCAGGCTAGATTAAAGTTACCGAATTCCTACTTTAGAGCACATGTAATTAGCATACCTTAGTTGCAGATTTATATATAATTAACTGGGATTTTCATCAGAAAAAATGATTTATTTTTCAGTGAATAAATTGTGAATGATGGACCAGATTCTTTTAATTACTGACTTACATATAGCTCACAACTGCATGATAATGTCACTGTGTTTCATCTTTTGAAGTAATGGTGATGGCTGTGATTCTTGATCCACATATCCTTTAAGTGAGCAATGTCTTGAAATATGCCTCAGAATTTTGAACATAGATTCTCTGTGCAGAAATGATGACCAAAACCTAGATAGTAAGAAATGAATGCCAGCCATAGAGGAAAGTTGAGGAATCTTTCTTCCATCTTTAAACTAGTTTAGAAAAACAACTAATTTATTATCTTTTCCAGATAATGTGATTTTCTAAAAATGTAGATTTATTCCTATAATTCTTTTTAATCAAGTTTCTTCTTCATCCTCAACCAAGAACATTGTCTTATTTTGAAGAAACTGTGTATCCATTTAATCAGCCTAAATTGATTCTTCCAAATTGTTTGCTTCTCAGCATTCTCTTTCAAGAAACCAATTTCAGATCCTGGCAGATAAAATATAATGGCAGCTGTCTTGTTTACAGGGTGATATCACTTCCATCCCGGAGCTGGCAGACTACATTAAAGTGTTCAAGTAAGTACTGTCTGGAAATCTGGAAGAAACAAATCAATAAGCTTTATAATAAATAAATAGGTTGTAATAAATGCATATCTCTTAGTGTCTAGAACAAGGTTTCTCAACCTTGACAACTTTAAAATGTGTGGCTAGAGAATTCTGAGAATTGAAGTCCACACATCCTAAAATTCCCAAGTTGAAAAACACTGATCTCGGTACATAAACTTGGAACATGTTTTCTTTAAAAAAAAATTTAGAGACTTTAAAATCTTTCCATCCTTTCTAGAATGTTTCTTAAATTGCAGGGCTAAACCTGAAAATACATGAAGTCCGAAGAGTAACTGTGCTGCAGAAGCTGTGCTGCTTGTCTGTAATGACTAGAAAAACATTTGCATATTGATTTAATTTACATTGTTCAGAATTTTACTTTAGGCAATCAAATAACTGGAAAATATGAAAATGCAGTCATTTGTGATTTGCTTGATTCCTGGGTGTCATTTCTTGCTTGTTTGATCCATAAGGAGTGAATGTCATTTTTCAATTTCTAAAGACAGTGATTGGGGCTGGCATTTTCTGCAGTTATCCTAGAACAGAGGTTTCTAACCTTGGCAGCTTTAAAACTCTGGACCTGAACTCCCAGATTTCTCCATACTGACTGGGGAATTCTACAAGTTGAAATCCACAGGGTCTTAAAGTTGCCAAGGTTGGATACCCTTGTTCTAGAAATAGGGATGATATTGCACAGTTTGAAGTATTATTCAAGTATCTTTCTTGTATTTTATGAACATATAGATAGCTAAATAACATTGTAGTTAATCCATTCTATTTACACTGCCAGAAAAAACAAGCTTTGGACTAACTTTGCTTCTCTTCAGTCAGGTTTATTTTTACTTTTAAATAAGACTTTTCTTGAGGGAAAAGAATAGGAAGAATATTATCTTGGATCTGAACATGTGAAAACTAGAAACAGTTGTGTCTGGATTTGGGTTAATATTTTGGCAGGCTTAGCTGTGTTACAAATGAATACCCGACCATACTACGGATATGAGATGAATTTTGGAACTGGTACAAAGACGTGTTGAATTTTGCAGAATTGACAGGAAGAACAGTTGAGAGGAAATAGCATAGAAACTATCGGTACTTTTGAAAAGAATTCCAAAATGGCTTTGTCAGTTTTGTATTTGGAACCATATAGGCAATACTTTCTCCTTTCTGTTTTCTTTAATTAAGTAGGGAAGATATACTTGCTCTCCCATTTGTTCGTAAGCACTTCCTTTTGATAACTCCCATTACATAATTCATCACTTCTTAGCATTGCAGTTTTTAAGATAGATCTTATTTTAAGGTACTTTGAATGATGAGCTTGAGTAATGATTTGATTTCTAATTGCTTAATGAAATGATCACCAGTTCTGGCAAGTTGTTCTCTGTACTTAACGTATCTCAATAGGCTTTTGTAGAGTTGAATCCTCTGTACCAAAGAACTTGTGTTAATTATGAAAGAGAAAGCAGCCTAAAATTCTGATTCAGAGGGAAATCCCTGCAAAATCACATATTGAGGCACAAAATAAGTCTATTTTTCTTATAAACAATAACATTTTGCAAACTTCCTGTCCTCCAGAAAATATTTTCATACTGCTTTATCTGTCAAGGATTTCCTGTACATCTACAATAGCATTCTAGAATGCATTGGTGACACTGTTATTTTGCTAAAATGCTGCTCTTGGGTTTTGAAGCTCAGGTATTTTATTACCTCATACAAGATGGAAAAAAAGTCAGCCTATAATATGCGACTCAGTTTTGCTGTAGCTGTGTGTGGCATAGAGCAGGGGTGTCAAACTGGTGGTCCACAGGCCAGATGTGTTACCTGCAGGCCATGCCCACCCCAGCTCTGTGAATGGGGAAACCGTCGTGAAACATCATGTGACAACGTAGCGAGTTTGACACCCATGGCATAGAGAATCAATAAGTGTAAGCAACCTGCAGTTGTATAACATTATTGTATCCTCATGAAGAATGTCTTCTCCTTCTCTATATAGCAGCCTCCTGTTTGATCTCTTGTTTAACATAATCATACTCTTTTCGATGGAGTGAGGTCTTTTAAATGGAGCATCAACCCTGAGAACCTTTTATCACTTATTTGGCTGGTGTACCACTTGTGGCCAATTTCAGTAATAAGATACCCTAGCAATAATCAATCATTCAATTTTCACCTTGAGACTGAACTGTAATTTGCTCTACATGGGGCTGAAGGAACCAGCTCATATAAATCACTTTGCACTAAGTTGAGAATCTGTGACCCTTCTGATTGTGCTAAAGACTAGTTCTCAGCGGCATCCCCCATCTTTGACCATATTAACTGGGCAACTAAGAGTTGTGATTCAGCAGCAGCCAGAAGACCACAAGTTTGTGTGAGGCAAGAGATGAAAAGCTGTTGCAAATGTACCTCCATTTCATTCAGTGGTAGTAATTAGTTTACTACTTTACAGGCCAAAGAAGCTAACATTGAAGGGTTATAAGCAGTATTGGTGTACCTTCAAAGACACATCTATTTCCTGTTTCAAAAGTAAAGAAGAATCTAACGGGACCCCAGCTCATCAGATGAATTTGAGAGGTAACAGAGCAAATGCAGTTTTGGTGATCTTCTCATCTCTCCACAATTGAGCTGTATTTTAAATTTGCTTATTTTGACATTTTTCTGACCTTGCGATAAGATGCAAATATTTTCTTACATGGCATTTCTCCAGGATGACTCTGCATCAATCACTCACTCACTGAAAGGCAGGATTTCTTTCACACTAAATTCTGGGAGTCATCAGAATCAGTAGAGAATCACTTTGTCTTTTGTGGTACAACCAGGGAACTGAGGGTTGAAGGGATTTAAATATTTTGTGGAGTTGCGTGTTCCTTCACGTGCATAACAACCCCCCCCCCAAAAGAGGTTTGTTGGTAATTTAATGGCAAAACTAGGTGCAGAATTATTTGATTCAGCAAAATGTTGCCTAGTTTTATAATGTCTGTATTTGTTCAATGTAACATACTGCATAAAATACAAATAAAAAGAACGTGAGAACGAAATAAACGACTTTAGCTCAAAAATTAGGAATGTTTTATCACCCAATAGAACATTCTTTTTAAAATATATTTTCCTCCTGCATTAGTTTGCTGAGCGCACACGCACACACACACACACACACACACACACACACACACACACGTGCCCACACAACTTTATTCAGATAGGGACAAAGAATTTATGCTGCATAGGACATTCCTCTGGCTACCAGCTCTGTTTGTATTCCACAATAAGCTATTCCAGTTTAATGGATTGTGCAATAGGCACTACTGACATTCACTTTTAAAGCCTTCAAGGCAGAAACAGAAAGGCTGCCAGATGACTTCAGACTTTAACTATGAACTGGAGAAATGAAGCACGGAATACCTTTTTCGGAGCTTTTAAACAAAACTGTTGATGACGGAATTTTAAAAGAATTCTGCTGGGAGAGCTGAAATAAAGCTGAAATTGTTTCCAAGAAAATGAGTTATTTTTTAAAAACATTATTGTCCTTTATAAAAGGTTGCATTAAAAATCCTATATCCTTGTTCTGAACATTGTGTCCATTATCCATTAATTTTCTTTTACTATTGACCATGGAGTAGCCCTTAAAAATGCTGGCCTATGTTTGGTGTAATTTCCCGAATTTAGTAGACAAACCCCTCAAATGAAAGAACAACAAAATAATCTTATCTTTCCATGTATACGTTATCTGTGACAGGGATACTGTTTAGATTTGGCAGATCCTGGTTCCAAGAATAATTTATTATGCTTATGTTAACATATTAAATAGTTAATAATCAGGATTAATGTCTACAGAGATTCTCAACCATCCAGGTCTCAAGCACCCAAAGGTGCTTTTCCAAAAAAGTGGGAGATGCAAAAGTAAGAGGCCTCCTCTGCCTAGACAAGCTGGCTGCTTCGAAAATGCAAGCATGGTCCTGTATGCCAAGCTCTGATTTCTCTGTCCATATATAAGCCAACTTTTCCTGAGCAGGAAAAAAATGAATTTCTAGCTTAGTGGTAATGAAGGTGACAATTTAATAACTGGTTCTTGTGAACAGGACTAATCAGCTAGATCAGGGGGGCTGAACCACTGGTCCGTGGCCCAGGCAAGGTTGGCAGCCTGTTGGGAACCAGACCATGCAAGAGGCGGGTAAGCATGTGATTATGTAAAGCTCCATTTCCCCATGAAACCATCCCCTCCCCCGCCACTGCCACACCACTACCAGTTCACAGAGCCGGAAAGGTTGGGGACCACTGAGCTGGATAATACCTTTATACAGGGACTTTGCTTAAATGAAAATATTCCCCAAAGAGTCAAAATCCCATTTAATTCAAATTCTAATTAAATTCAAATTCCTTCTGGAAGTACTTTTGATTTCAGTGGAGCACAATCATATATATAAAGAATTCATGATCAATATAACATTTATGCAACATTTAAGACAGCAGTCAAATGAATACACATCTGATTGAAACACACCCAGTCCTACAGCATGTTTGGTATTCGGAACCTCTTTTGTGGCTCTTCAGTATGTTACAAAGCTAATATTTCTCCTGTGTGCTGCTCCGGGAATCCAATCATGGGTTAACTTAGCCTTCTAGCCTTGAGACTGAGTATGCAGATTTCAAAGTTACGCCTCCTCTGACTGGACTTCCGTTTCCTTTTCAGTTCTTTTACTCAGTCAAGCCTACGAGACTTATTTTCAACGCTCTCTTGATTAATTGCTAATTTTTCAAGGTNGGTTTCGTCGAGCGCGGTTTAGTCGAACGCGGTTTTGTGGTGGAACCCTACCGAATAGGTGCGAACTGGTAGGAACCCACCTCTCATCTGGAGGGTGCAAAATTGAGCAAAAAATGGACTGTTTCCCCTCATTTCTGCCCCCAGAAGCTCTCTGAAAGCCTCCTACAAGCTATGTACGGTCATTTTGGTGAAGGGGGTGGGGTTTCGGGGGGCAAAAAATGCTGCATTCAGTGAATACGACGCACCCTGATTTTCAGCCTCTTTTTTGAGGGAAAAAGGTGCATCATTTACTCTGAAAAATACAGTAGCTCTTTTACTGCTCAAGCTTATATAACTGTGGTGAGGAACCTACGGGACACATGCCGGAAGCAGCATACAGAGCCATCCCACGCGGGATGCGCAGTCGCAGCCTCACTGGCTCTTCTTCCACGCTTCTGTGCACACGCGCGCGCCAGTCAGCTGGCTTTTCCACATGTGGGAGTGCTGAAACCTGGAAGAGCAGCATCCCGTCATGCATGTGCGCACTAGCACCCACACCTCCAGGTTTCTGGAGCGTGTGCTCATGCTGTAAACTGGACGTTTGGGTGCCAGTGTGCGCATGCGCACTGCAATGCTGCTCTTCCGGGTTTCGGTGCTCCCACGTGCACAAAAAGCCAGGAAGCTGCATGGTCCAGGCAGGACAGTTTTGCATGCCATTTCCAGCACACAGGTCAGCATGTGGTGACGTAAAAAGTTAACCGTCGCTGCTATATAATACAGGAATTGTCTCAGACTGCTGGTTTGTACCTGGGTGAAATAAGGTGGCGTTTAAGGGGAGGCTGTTAGACTTTGCCTCTTACGGCCATGTAGGGATTCTAGACTAATTGCCTGTTTGACTCCTTCCCCTGGCTGAGCCAATCTTACTCTGACAGTTTCTTCACCGCTTGTCACTTGGACTGAGAGGGAGGAATTGAACTGGAGCCAAATCCTCTTTAGTTGCCGAATGGGGACCAGTCCAACCCCTTTCCCACTGGACTGCAGTGATTCTGGCTGTGTCCCTGAAATGCCTTTTGATAGCTCAGATCAGTCTGACTATCTAGGGTCCCTGTCTTCATCCAAACACCTTTTTGGGGAGGCGATGGGATCACTATTGGCTTCAACAGCCAGGAGCTTCTTGTGCGCTGCATATGCTAGAAGGGGAGGACGGGGGGGCGCAGCGTCCCCTCCGCGGCCCATTCTGGGCCAAAATGGGCTGTGGAGGGGGCGCTGCAGGGGGGGCTTCAAGGAGGCCTACTAGGCACAAAATGGGGCGCCGGGAGGTGCAGCACATATGGGTTGGGGGAGGGGAGTGTGCGTGGGGTCACGCACGCATGCATAGGGACGCAAGTGTTGGGTGTCACACACGCATTGCATTATGGAGGAGGGCTCGCCCATGTGCTGTTGCACCCATGCGCTTTTGGCACACAACGACAAAAAGTTTAGCCAGCACTGGTATAGGATCTTCTGTTCGATCAGGGGGTTGGACTAGAAGACCTCCAAGGTCCCTTCAAACTCTTCTGAATTCTGAACCATGCCATTGTTAAGCAAATCCGGTTTCCCCCATTGACTTTGTTTGTCAGAAGCCAGCTGGGACAGTCACAAATGGTAATCGATAATAGATGGAAATGATATGTTAACTTTGATTAATTTAGAGGGGCAAGTAATGATATTGTTTATATATTAAGAAGAAATTAAATTTAAACGGAAGAATATGGAATGAAAATAAGATGACTGAAATGTAAAATGAAAATATGATGTAAAATGAAATTTGCATAAAAGAAAATGTAAAGAGGGGGAAAACTGGACAACACTTTGTTTATAAAAGAAATAAAAATATGTAACAAAAAAAAATTGGTATAAATACTGTACATGCGAGTTGCCAGGCGCCTGAATTTTGATTACGTGACCATTGGGATGCTGCAATGGTCATAATTGTGAGCACCGGTTGTAGTCCCTTTTTTTCATTGGCGTAACTTTGAACAGTCGCTAAATGAATGGTCGTAAACCGAGGACTACATGTAGATACACTGGTGCTCCCAGCATTTCTAACCAGCTTGAAATCCAGGGCACCCTAGCAGTTCTTGCTGTGTGTTACAGGCCTAAAATATCTGGAGGACAACAAGTTCTGTGGAAAGTTGTCCTAAATATATATAAAAAAGAGAAAAGTTGCAGGTCAGCTGTTCTTGTCCCACTATGCTGGAAAATCTGAGCGTACAAAATTATGGGAGCGGAGAAGGTCAAGAATATTTAGGAATGACCTATAAAATGCTTGCTCCTAATGGAGGAGAAGAAAAAAATAGTAGAAAGAGAAATCGAGGCGAAGGAGGGAGGGAGAACGGAGAGGAAAGCAGCCACTTTCTTGTTTGCAAACCAAGCCAGCTGTGTCCTCTGTTTAAACATATTTATCTATTTTTGGTGGATAAAACAGCAAGCTTGGAGGTGGCCGAGATGAAACGGAAAAATAGTCATTATCCTTGACCACCTCTCTCTTTCTCTCTCCCTCTCCGGAACATAACAGGACAGCAGAAGGACATGAGATAAAGTCAATGTATTCTACTTGCCTAACAAGAAAACAAGAAAAAAGGGGAAAAGGGCGATTCCGTTTGAAAGGAGTCACTGCCAGCGAGAAAACACTGAGAAAAGCTGGCATCGTTACAGAGAGGAGAAAAAATATTCTGCATTTCCTAAGGCTCCTGGGTGTTGAGAGGGTTTTTCTGTGTGCGTGTATTGTGTGTCATCCAAAATTTGGCTGTGAGCCACAAAATCTGGACCGTGATTTTCTTTGGAGGTAGAAATACAGGAAATTCTCAACTTACAACAGTTTGTTTAGCGACCATTTGAAGCTACAGCAGCACTAAAAAAAAAAGTGACTTACGACCATTTTTCATACTTATGACGGTGATTTACATTCAGATTAGAGATGGCATTCAGCCGGCTTTCTGGTTTGGGCTAACCAGTAGCGGCGACTGCAGGAGGCTCCGCCCACCCGCCCCGATGTCATGCGCGAGCACTGTGCATGCGCAGAAGGTGGGGTGCATGCGCCGATGCAGTGTGTGCATTCACATTTGCAAACTGCTAGGGAAGGCAAGTGAATCCCGCCGCTGATTCAGATGCTTGATAACTGGTTCATATTTATGACGGTTGTAGTATCCTGGGGTCATGTGATCCTCTTTTGGGATTTTCTTACAACAAAATCAACTGGGAAGTCAGATTTACTTGGCGATAGTGCTACAAACTTTTAAAAAATGTGGCAAGAAAAGTCGTAGAAATGGGGCAAAACTCACTTAACAAATTTCTCACTTAGCAACATAAATTTTGGGCTCATTTAGCAATAGCAGTTAGACTTATATACCGCTTCATAGGCCTTTCAGCCCTCTCTAAGCGGTTTACAGAGTCAGCATAT